CGCTTTGCGAAATCGCAGGCCATTTGAGAAGTGTGACATCCGCTAATCTGTAAGAAATCGCGGATTTCTTGATCGTGTATGATTGTTCCTACGGTGTACGTTGACTTCTCGTTTCTAAACTGAAATTGCTAGACCTGAAGGTTTCGCAAGTAACACAGTTGGAACAAATACATTAAGGGTTTTGCAGGAAAGGATCTGCTGTTGTAAATTTTTATTTCACCTGCAGAAACTCGTGATGGCGAGAGCTTATCAGTCAGATCAATCAGTGCTCGTTGCTCTCGGTGAAAGGTAACATATCTGTCATTTTCATCAATCAATCATCGGGCATGATCATATGAGAGGAATATAGGCATCGATAGCTTTAGCTTATCGAGTACTGCCTATGGTCAAAAATCACACCGATTGCTTTTTGACGAATTAGGTGAATTTTCCATTGAGATTTGTTAATAGTTAACAGATTCTCCCGGGATACCAAGGAGTTGAATCTGGCAGTTTTCAGTTGTAAGGTCAACGATGTGTTACTAGATTATTATCTCCTCCTGAAAAATGAATATATCACTCAGACAGAATAGCTGGAGGGGGCAGATAGGACTTGTTTTTTAAAACTCTCTGTGCTCTAGCGCGAATTAATCGTTACAGAAGACGCCTGATCGATAATGCTCTATGTTATTAGCCGCTTATCATACCTGATAGTTGGAAGGTGCTCAGTTTGTTGGAGACTCCAAAACTTGTAATTTTTGAACGTCAATCTAACTTTAACTATACCTTCCTGAAAAACTGTCTTGAGCCAGAGAAGACTGCTGCCCAAAAGCCATTCAGTTCTTAAGAAATTTAAAATTTTTGTAAACTCTGCAATAGCCGAAGGTTCGCAACTTCTTTCCACCTTCAGGAAGGTTGCACTGTTGCCATGTTACTGACGCATGATGAGCATCCATGAACAGATCGGCATAATGCGCCAACGGTATGTTTATGACCTGTTTATGAATGATGTACTTTGATCGTCATGACCTTAAATGTTAAGTATGCTTCCATTGTGATGGTGTTCGTTGACGACAGTAATCCGAATACCAGTCTTTAATTGTTCAAGGCGTTCAATCGCAATTATGGGCTTGCAGTACAAGCT